GGCTTTCTCTCTGGCAACTCTGGAGGAAGGTCCTTGTCTTTTCAGCTTTTATTCCTGCTTCCTTAGAGATGTCCAAGTGTCTTGGTATCTATCTCACTCCATCTCTCCTCGTCTTGCTTGTTTAATCTCTTTTGCAGGCATAGACCTGTTTTATTGCGCTTTGCAGAGTTTAAAAAAAAAAAAAAAATGACGGTTTGTGGCAACTCTGCGTCCAACAAGTCTATCGGCGCTGTTTTTCCAAAGGCATGTGTTCACTTCATGCCTCTGTGTTACATTTTGGTAATCTTCACAGTATTTCAAACTTTTTCATAATGCTACTGCACACTTAATAGACTAGTATAGTGTAAACATAACTTTTATATGCACTGGGATACCAAAAAAGTTGTGAGATTCCCTTTATTGTAATAGTTGCTTTACTGCAGTGGTCTGGAACCGAACCTGCAGTATCTCCAACGTATGCCTGTATACCTCAGATATTGACTCAAGATACACCCTACACTAATCATTCCTCATTAACATAGCAAACACCATAAACCAAAACCAAATCCACTGCCATCAAGTGAATGCCAACTCACAGCAACCCCCACTGAGTTTCCAATCTACAGAAGTAGATTGCCTCATCTTCCTCCTTCAGAGCAGCTCGCGGGTTTGAACTATCAACCCTGCAGTTAGCAACCAAATGCCTTACCCACTAAGCCACCAGAGCTCCTTTTAACAAAGATAACCCATCCCAAATGAGATCATAACCACAAGCATAGAGGTTAGGATTTACAACATATTTTGGAAGGCATAATTCAATCCCTAACACTACGTTTTGGCTCATCCGCTTTAGTAGGCAATCCTATCTTTGTAATAAGGAACCACAGAAAAAGTAACTTCTCTTATAAACCAACTATCATATACATGCTTAAAGCCATAGGAAATGGGATTCTTTCTTCTCACTTTTAAATATTACAATACACTTTATCTTCTTTTTAGGTACCTTCACATTTCACCTTGAATTAATTTTTTAAAATTGAGAACTTGCCCTATAGTGCCCTAAGCATTGGAGTTAAGTACTAGGGTATGGCTGTGATACTCCCACCTATCTCATTATATAAGCTGTATTGCTGTTTTCTAATCAATAAAAATTACAGTTGTGGTGCAATTTCAGAGTTAGCATGTACATGCAAAAGAAATCTACACAATCAATATTTAGGCTATGTTCTAATCACAAATACATCAACTGAATTCAGGAAGGAAAAAGATGATACAGTTCGCTTTAATTGTTGATGGTTAACATCCTTACATTATGTTGTCAGGGATGTAAGGGTGAAAAGTAGGTGTATTTTTTTGAAACATAATTAAAATGATGTGATGAGACTTCAGAGAGTCTGTTGTGTCAGAATATGCTACCAAAGAAATCATTTTGTCTTCTGGGAAGGATAATAAATAGCAAGGGATGGGTGCTAGAACACAGGTGTTTGGTTTACTGTTCACAGTAGATGGTAGCTAGTGTCAGAAAGTCATAAAATGCCTCTGCTGAACCAGTTACCGGTAAGATTCCACCTACATATGCACTACTTAAATATCTTCCTACACAATGGAGCTTAAGTGACCTTTCGTCAGCATAGGGTATCTGTGACAGTTACAAGAAAATGGTCCTACTTGTTTAGGACTGTGTGTAGGTGTTGAACATGGCACTTTAAACATAAATTTATGAAGCACAAACTTTTGATGCAAAGATGACTCATAGGGTTTCAGAATGTGTAAATAATGAAGCACAATCTAACTTAGACTGTCACTGACGCTCACCCACAGAACAATGAACCTGGGGTCATTACCAAATTGTCTGATTACTAGGAAATTCACAAAATTTGCTGCTCTTAATTAGTCGATGAGAAAAATCCTTGTATGTGCAACTTTGACATTTGTGTGGTACTCCTATCTTCAACGAGTGTTAGGTGCTGAATTTGCATTTTGCACACAAGTGTTTTTTGGTAGCATTCAACTAATGCTACTTCTCTGAGATTGTGAACAATTCTCAGGAGAATTTATAACTAAAACCTTCAAGTAGCAGCAGTAAGTTAAAAAATTCAGGAAGTATAGAACTTAAGATCTTTATTTAGGCAAATTAATATCAGTGTAAAATAATGCCCTTCACAGAAGAAATATTTTAAACCATCTTCTCACCAGTTGCCATCAAGTCAATTCCAACTCATAGAAAACCTGTGTGTGTCAGAGCAGAAGAACCAGGCTACACAGAGTTCTGAAGTGAAGGGCTGACTTCTGGTAGGAGGTCCCTAGGCCTTTCTTCGGAAGCATCTCTGGGTGGACTCAAACCTCCAACCTTTTGGTTAGCAGTTGGACACATTAATTGCACCACCCAGGGACTCCTTTAAACAGCTTACTGAATATTTAGTTAAGAAAACTGATTTAAGTGCATAAAATATAAAGCCAACAAAAATTAGGAGACACAAACTCACTGAATTAACTGAAATCATGCAGTTAAAAACATAATGGGAAAGAAAAGGGCAATAAGTAAATATTTCTTATAAATGCTGAAATACTAACTAAGGTTAGTATTTCGTGAGATACACTTGCAATGTTTCTTGTTTAAGATTATCATCCAAATGCTACCAAAAATGTCATAAAAAAACATCTATATGAAGATGAACTCGTATAACCTAGACCTTTAACATCATTGGAGCGATATTTTGAATGAAAGCCACTTAGCTATCAGAGTAACAGGGAGCTCTGGTAGCGGAGTGTCTCAGGCATCTGACTGCTAACCAGAAGGCTGGCAGTTCAAACCCACCAGCCACTACTTGGAAGGAAGGTTGGCCAATCTACGTCTGTAGTGATACTGCCTCGGAAACCCAAAGAGGGGTCTCTATGAGTCGGATCCGACTTGATGGCACATAACAACAACATCAGAATAACAACCTTGGAAGTTGTGACCAAGTAGTGAAGACAAAGCCAGGAGATTCAATAGGATATTGTTTTAATCCTTAAGGAATGAGTGGACCTAACAGATAGGAAGAATATGAAATAAAGCAACTTAATTTAATAACTAATTTTGTAAGTGGAACCAATTATTATTCATAGTCCCCTGAAAAGTGATCATGAAAATTCACTAAACTTAAAAGTAAAAAAAAAAGATTTATAAGCTTAACTTAAAAATTCAGACATCTAAATTTTTTAATTATAACTTCAGTAAGTTGATTGTGAACTTAAAAAAGTAAACTTCCTATTAATCTTTTCTGCACAAAAAAAAAAAAAAAACCACCATCAAGGTGTTTTGTTTTTTTTTTTTTAATTTGCATAGGTCAGTAGAAAAGAAGGCAGAGAAGAGATATTAAAATCTCAACCACTGCACACTTAGAAAGACAAATCCTACTCTGAACATTTGCTCTGATCACTTCTATGTGAAATAAGAATTTTACAAGGTTGCCAAGTAATTAACTGCAAGATTTTTGAGATTAAATGTATTTAAAATAAAAATTAATTTTGGGACAATAGATTGTTCTTTTATTCACTTTGGAGGCCCACTTGGGAATCCCATTTATGAGGACATCCACAGATAATAACAAATAAATAAGCTTGGATTCCCGGAAACATCACCCATGCACAGCTGGACCATAGGTAGTTCAGTTACATAATAGCTACCACATTTGGTCTATGCTTCAAGATGTTACAAACAAAATGTTTGCTCTATTCTAACCTCAGCTATTTACTTACTAAATTCATTCCCTATAAAAAACAGCTCTTGATTTTACTAGGTAAATTAAAAAAACAAAAAACTAAACTCACTGCCATAGAGTAGATTCCGACTCACAGTGACCCTCTTTGGGTAAATCTTTATGAAGTAGATTGCCCAGTCTTCTTTCTGCGGAGTGGCTGATGGGCTTGAACCACCAAACTTGTGGTTAGTAGTGAAATGCCCTAGGCATTATGCCACCAGAGCTCCTCACTAGGCAAATACATTGGTAGATTTTCTTTTGCATGACATGCAGAAATAAATGAAAATCACAGGCAAAATGGGTATCATCCCAGTATCAACTATTTGAGTGGCCAACTGAGCAATATGCTAGGTGGAGTGAGTAGTTAAAATCCCTGCACTCTTATTTAGATTTTCAGCCTTAAATACTGATAACTGTAATTAAAAAGGTACACAGGAACTAGCATCCTCATAATCACCTAAGTGGTTTAATAATTAAGGAGAGGAGAAAAACATTTTTTTTTCCCCTGCCCTTTGACAGGTTCAATGGAACTGTCAAAAAGAGTATTAGCCTGATAAGCAGATCTTTAACTGACATTCAGCTTCAAAATAAGACCACTTTGGGTTTTGTTCTGTTTTGAAGTGTCAAAGTGAAATGCACTACCACTATGGCTTCACATCGAATCTCACAGAATGTACTTAAATGTTAGTTCATTAATCATTCTAGTCTGTAACACACTATCATTTGTATTATTTTATATGAGTGGTATTAGTTCCCTTCCAACTAGGTTTTGGGCTCCCAAAGGGCAAGGATCACCTGTTGTATTTCTTCTGTGGCGTCCACACCTACCCTAATACACGCTCTTCATTAAATATCAACCTATGAAATGCATCAATTAAAACCATGTTGCAAGGCTTTTGCTGGTTCTTCATCACAGGCTAGCTCAATTACATACAATCAACCATAATACTGAGTCCAAATCACATTACCATTTTAATATGTACTATATTAGGTTAAATCCTAATGTTCCTCCTTTTATTTATTAATTTAGTTGGCTAGAAATGGTAGAGACATTAAAATGTGTCCTCTTTGTAAGCTCCTAAGAACAAAAGAAACCATTTGCCAAATACATTTTTAGAAATGAAGGCAACTGACAATAATATTTACTCATAATTTAAGATATAAGCTCCTGGGCTCTTAACACCCAAGTCCCACCCAAACCATCAAACTAGGGAAGCAGAGTAGGCTAATATTCCTACAGTGGAAAGTGCTATGCAGAAAGTGCTCTAAACATAAGTGTGTGAGGCACAGAAAATCTTTATTGCCACAGGAAACTAGTGCACTTGTCCCACTTCACCAACAGCTTTAATAGTCACAAAAACTCAGACTTCACATAATAAACTATAACATAGACTTGGGGAGAAATGGTCCCTTGGACAATATTGGCTATAATATTGAGGTAACCAATTGACCTTGTTCAGTGAAAATACCTCTAACACAATGAAAAATCAACTAGTTATAACATCTGATTCATATGTACAGTTCAAATAAAAATATATATTATTTGCTTTAATGTATAGCAAGTTTAATACATTAGTGTTTACAAAATAAAAACTGTGTTCTACTGAGATTTTTCTTGTGCTTCCCCTTATCACTAACCTTGAAAGACCAGAAAAATATGATACTTAAGGAAACTTATTTATGGACTTACAGATGCAGTTTGTGGGGCCACAAAATAAACTGATAAATATTAGTTGGAAGATTACTGCACCTTTAAAAATTGTTGCTTATTAAAATCTACAAACTTGAACTTTAAGACACAATTAAAAAAAAAAACCCACAAAATTTCTCAAAATAGATTAGAATACAGGAAACGTTTCATGAAACTACTGAGATACTAACCAGTGCTATGGCTAATATTAAAAACTGAACATTCTATTTAAGTCGTACTCATACTATTTCTACACACAGTGAACTATACAACCACAATAATCAATCTCAAGCTAGCAACAAAGCTGCAAGGTCCATAAAATGTTTCTTTTGTGGGCAGACAATACGGTACAATTAAAACATTTAGGAAGGGAATAAAGTCTTTTAATAGTATAAAAATTGTTTACTGGGGTTTCTATTGTAAAGCTATTCTACAAATCAAAATGAAAAAGCAATTACACGTGTGACAGTGATCAGAGACTACAGTGCAGTCCATCTAACATTCAGCTGACAAATTTTAGAATAACAGAATATAACTTGATATTTGTACACAGCAATGATCTAGAGCTGAACTGAGAACTAAAGAAGAATAAAAAATAAATCACATATTCTAAATCAATACGTTCTTCTCAGCAAGACCTGGGTTTAGAAAAATCCATAGCAAGTAGGTACTGCTGTCAAATATCTTCTCTTCTTAAACCAACAAAGAAAACATACATTGGCAGAAGCCATAGTTCTATTTTTACTCTTAAGGACTCCAATGTGAAATTCTCATTTATAAATTGGCAAGTACATTACTGACATTTAAGCACACCCCATATATATGCACACAGCCCATTAATTAAATAGTGGGAATTAAAAACAAATACTTTCAAGTTAAAATGGATTTTTAAGAAAAAACTGCATTCACAAATCTGGAAAGTGTACAAAAATGAAATTATAAAATAAATAATATAGGTGTCAACTAAACATCCATTGAAATATGCCTAGAAATGTGGATGCAGTGACTATTCACCCTTGTAATAGTCTGGGTGGGAAGACATTTCCCAGTGAGAGTCAGCTAGTCTGTCCATGGCTCCTGTATGTGGAGAAGAATTCCAGACAAATGATACTTACTCTATTACAGCCTTTGTTAAAAGTCACCATCCTCATCACATTTACGGTTAACTTACTTAAGTCTTAATCTAATTTAACACATTCTGAAATTCAGTACTTGAGTAAAGGCTTTTACACATCAATCTACTTGTTTCAACTTCTCTGTCCAAGTAATAGTTTCTTAGTTTTGTTAGATCTTTAGTAGCTATTATATAATGCAATCTAAGCCAACTAAGTAAGAGCTCTTTTCCATTCTATTGCTCATCCTTTTTAACTTTCCTCTACTATTAATTGTGTAAATATGCATTGATTAAACCAGTAAAAAAAAAATGGTATTATGTGAACAAAAGCTACATTGCTCCTGTCACACAGAATCAGTTTCATCAGATATTAAATCCATAAAATTTTCCTTGGTTAAATTGAGCATTTGCTTTTGATTTTTCCAAAGTCATTGCAACCCTGCCACATCACTAAACTTTCGTTATGACTGCAGAGATTCTACAGTATGACTTATAATAAAATTTACACTAAATACATATAAAGTAGACAATGAAATTTCAAGTAAAACTGTATCCACATATATTGGACCCAACAGGTCTCAACATCTAGATTTCACTTTTATAAATTACACAAATACATTGTACATTCTTAAATAATGAATGCTTACAATATTAATTTGTAAGCCTTACACAGGATGACTTACATAGGAATGTGAATGGATCAGTATTTCTGTTACAGATTGCAACATGATTTTCTCTTTTGTGGCTGTTGCTTTGTCTTCCTGGTTTCCATAGACTACTATACCAGTCCTTATGCTTTGGCTATGAAATCTGTTTGAGCTGAATGAGGCAACATTGGTTATTAAGGCTTATTTCTATGATGGAGCATAATCCTTACATCTGATGCCATTTCCACCAAGCTATCTGGAATCTTCAGGCTCTGTTTTGATGACTTTCTTTTCTAATGTAAAAGCTGAGTGAGGGTAGTCTTTTAAAATCCCAAGGCTCTCTGCATAAAAATGGAAACATGAAGTATGTTGATATTTGAAATCAATGAATTGAAGAAAACAAATTATAAAACAAAATCCCAAAATCTATAGCAAATACTATAAACTCTTCATGATTCTGTAATACCATATAAAAATGTTATGTGTATACAGCTATGGTTATAAACGCTTGGGTTCTGAATTTAAATTCAAGGTCTCCTAATTACTAACTATATAAATCTCTGGGCCAGTTACATATACCTCTAAGCTTCAGTAGCTGCATTTATAAAATGTGATTACTATCTATGTACAGTGATGTGAGAGTTAAGTGAAATAATGAAATTGTATTACTAAATAGAACATATCAGTTTTTATTTAATGGTTGGTCCAGCAACATAAATAAAATATAAGTGATGTACAACAAAGTTATTTGTTAAAATATTTACTGCCAATGAAGGAATGTGATATAAAAACATTCTTTCTTGTCTAAATAGAGAACTCTTTTAAAATTTCTATAGCCATGAAATATTAAAGTGGGAGAAATAGGGTAATAGTCTACTTTGGTAAGAAATCATTCCATGGAATTATGTATATATAGTTATTTCAACTTCACACACAAAAATATAATCTTTATGAAAAGTACTAATACTGAGACACACACACACACCTCGAAAGGATTCCAGAGAGGTAGGCAATACCAACGGGTTCTTTGATATTAAAACAAACAACCCAAATCCATTGCTGATGAGTGGATTTTGACTCATAGTGACCTTATAGAACAGATGAGAATTTCCCCATAGGGTTTCCAAGGCTGTACATCTTTATGGAAACAGACTGCCACATCTTTCTCCCATAGAGCAGGTGGTGGGTTTGACCTGACAACTTTTTAGTCAGCAGTTTATTGCTTAATCACTGTGCCACCAGGGAACCTTACCTGAAATTAGGTTGCTCATAATTTATGGATTCACCTTCTGTTCAAAGAAGGGGATTTTAAAGTTCCACATAGAGCAATGAAAATATCAGCTACCACATATTAAATTCCAACCAGCCTGGCAACTCATGTATGCAATCTTATGTAATGCTTGTAAGTACCATATGAGGTAGGTATTATTATTTCTATTTTACAGAGGAAGCAATGGAGGATCAGGGTAGTTAAGTAACTCAGTAAGGGTCACTCAGTCAAGTAATTAGTGCTGAGGTATGGACCCAGGTTTGCACATGGCGCCTACAATACTTCTACTCAATTAAAATGGGAAAAGAAAAAAAGGCTTTTCAGGCATTCTTTCATTCTGTTTTACATAAACCCTAGCTCAACTACATCTCTATGTAATAGAGATACAAAGTATGCCCCCATGGTGGAACACATGTGATCAATGTAATTGGAGCATTCCACATACATACAAAATCTTCAAAGGGATACAAGCTGGTAGAAAAAATTTTTTTTAAAAAAAAGCATTTCAAAGAAATAGATCACATTTTCATGCTGTGGAAATATGACCAGGATGTAATCCTTAGAACAATTTCAATTTCTCTACTTCTCTTTGACATTCTTAAAGTGCCTAAAATCAAGAAAAGTAATAGTATATACTAAAGTCACAGCACAGAATACAGGTATGGGTCACTTATAATGTCCACAATATGTTCTGTGAAATAGGATGTTATGCAATTTGGATGTTGTATAAACACCATATTATATATAAGCAGTCCCTGTATAATCCATAGTTAAATCCCCATAAAGCCTACTATATTAGAACTTAATGGGAACCCACCAGACAAAGCCCCAAGTTCTGAATCCACTGGACTCAGGAGGCTGGCCCTGCTGGGTGTGTGGCCAGGCAGGGGTTGTGCTGGCATGCAAATTGGGACCTTGCACACAAGGAAGCATGGAAAGGTGACTGTAGGAACTGGGTGTGCAGGTGCCAGGAGCAAGGCTGGTGGCAGCACCCCTGGCTGCTGCTGCCCTGCTGGTGCAGATGGCTGCCTCTGACCATGTGCAGCTGTCATCACCTGGACCAAGGAGTCCAGCACAAGAGCACCTGGGCCGGCGAGCATACCAGCACCATGGCAGGAGTGAAGGGGTCATAGCAGGCACTGTCTGTGCTGGGGATGAAAGGCTGCAAGCCTGCTGGGTGAGTGAATGAAGCAAGAGGAGAGGAAGAGGAAGAAAAGGAGGCACTGCCAGGATTGCGATATGTCCTGGAGCCTTGCTTCTCTCTCTCTGGGGCTTGGGGTCTTTAAAACCACTAAGTGGAAATAAAAAACTAAAGGAAAACTACCTTCCCTTTAACAAAAAATCAACAATAGGACCAGGAACATACATGTGGTCGGATATTGCCTGAACAGATGTTAAGTGACGCATACCTGTATTATTTAGGGCTTTGGCTTTTTAGCCTCTGATGCTAGTAGTGTGAACTGAAATTCATAACCTCTCTTGATAATGTTCTTCAAATAAATATATAATTAATTCTATCTAAGTAATATATACAAACTCAGGTTTAAATCTAATACTTGTGGAACTACTTTCCCCATTGCCTTAACACGTATTTAGAACCATTTACTTTATGTGGTCTCAAACTTCCACATCTATAAAATTAGTTACTTTAATCAAGTGATCACTACAGCTACTTTAACTCACAAATTGAGTAACAGTAAATTTTTTCAAATGGCTCTGGTTTCTAATACTTTAATTTTGTCTAACTTACTTCACTTGGTAAAAGTAAGTGAAAATCTAACTACAATAAGAAACTGCTTATCTTTTAATGGAGTTTAGTTTACTTTTTAAATATGAGTATCATCCTTGAATCTGCTTGAAAAGTTTAGATTTGCATGTTCAGACTGACTTAGTATGACAGCAAGCAATTGCAGTCTAACAATTTCACATCATAAAAGGCCAGAAAAAGGCAATAATGTAACTCAAACCATACATTTATTATTCATTTAAAAATTTTCTTTAAAAGTCACCATATATGTAATAGTTGTACCAAAATAAAATGTCAATACTCATGGATTTTTTTTTTTTCTCTGTCATTCTTTGTGTCTTTGGAACAGGTACATAGTTTAGTCTTATTTTAGTGTAAGAAAAGGCCCAAAGCCTTTTCAATGATTTAAAAGCTGCACATGCAGCAAGTTTATTTATTTTTTTATTTTTGCAGTGTTCTGTAGCAAGTGAAGGTGACTGTGGTGAGGAATCTGTTGTGAGTAGGGGCTGATTTGATCCTTTCAAAATGAGGGCAAATTTACATAACCTGAAAGGGCAAGTAGGAGTTGTCCTAACGTCAGACGTTTGTAATCTGGGGGTTGCTTGTACTATGGTCTCAAAAAGACTGGTTATTATAGTAATTTTCACTGGGAGAAAAACTGACAAGTAATATGGTTAATAATGATCTTTTTGGGGGAGTATGAGGAGAAAAGATCTTAAAGATGCTTCATTCAAGTGTGTTCCTCTCTCTGATTATATACACATTCTCACCTGATGAGTGGGACTTTGTCTCACTGGAGTAAAGTCTACTAAGCTCCCCATCCACCATAAAAGGATGGGGTTGTCTATTCTGTATATTAGGCATTCGGAGATTCAAAGGTCTTTCTCCTGATGAAAAGAAAAAAAGAAACAATATGAGTGATATTTCAAACTACCATGGTTTCTATTCAAGTAAGTTTTCACAAATTGCTTGAGTCTCTTAAGGAGGGATGGAATAAGGAAAGTCAACAAGGAGTAAAGAATTTAAATGATAGAAAAAAATGTTTTAAATAATACTTTAGGAGGAAAATGGCAAGTCATTTCACGCTAGTCCTAAGGTTTACAATTCTGCCAAGACAAACATGAATGAAACGAAAGAGTGATGTCCACTGAGCTTTCCAACTCTGGCATATAATATATCACCCTCCTCCCCTACCACAAGGCATTTTCTTACTAGCTCAACCATTCTTTGTTCTAAAGTATGTCAATAACCACATAATAACAAATATTAGAGAGACAGAGATGGCTTTAAGCCAAATGCAGATTATTAAAATTATCTAAATTAGATTATGGCACGATCCCTGAAAAAAAGTGTTAGCAAAGAGATGTTAAAAGATGGTTATACACCATATTATATTCTCTGTCATCCATCACACTTAGGAAACTGTCACCTCACACTAGATTACCCTGGTGCCACAAATGAATCATGAACTCTTTCATAAACACCACTGATTCTTAACTATAGGTTGATGGCTGATGAGAAAAATGAAGACCTCAATTAAAAAGTTTCTGTAATATTTTAAAAGAACTTTCTTCTATAATTCTCTGATCTGCTGACACGTAAAATATTTTACTACATGAATGCTTAAGATGTTATTCTTACTTAGAAAGAAATCTTAGGTTTTAAACACTAGGAACCACTGTCTAGAAAAGTATAATATAATATATAAAAAGAAACATAATTATTTTTCTTTTCAAATCATTATCCCTATTTTGTTTACTTATATATACTCTACATCTCTGTCCAGAGTGTGTAAGCTCCAAGAGAACAAGGAATTTGTCTTGTTGACTGCTACAACTTCAATGCCTAGAACTGTACTTGGCACAGAGAATATACAGGCAGTCCCAAGGTAATGAACAAGATCTGTTCCTGTGCCTTTAAGGTTTTAAGTGGAATTTGTAGGTAACTGCCTGTACTAAAAAAAATTAGCAGGTGAGTGAGTGAATGATAGTGACTTTGGAGGATATGAAAAAATGAAGTAATTTTTAAATGGCTAAAAATACTCTTGAATCACATACCTTTCTAAATTTAATGGTTTAAGAGAATAATCTGCAATACCACACAAAATATTTTTACAGGGCTCGTAAGCTGATGTGCAGCCTGAATGAAGACAAAATCTCTTTAAATCTCTGCATACTTCTACTGTCTCTTCAAATCTCCACACTTGGTCATGATACTTCAGAAGCATTTACCATATTCTCTTAGAAACCAAATGTTATCAACATTAACAGACAGTTTTTGAAAGTCTAACAAAATATGAAGTTTTGGTCTTTTTTAAAACAATAAACATGTCTCATGGAATCAGTTTCCTTGAGGAAAATGATCTGTTTTCCATTCCCACACATCCTTTAACTTAAATGTTAATTGCATTTGCCAGCTATTGATTGGGAATAATAAGGTAAAATATTCACAACTCACAATTTCAGGGATGAATTCTTCCCTTTTTACATAGCAGGGATGTTTTGGTTACCCAGTGCTACTCAACAGAAATACCACAAATGGGATGGCTAGCTTGAACAAAAATAGGAGCTTATTCTCTTACAGTTTGGGAGGCTAGAAGTCTGAGTTCAAAGTGCCAAGTTCTAGGGGCTGTGTGAAAGCCCCTCAACCTTGGGCTTCAGCTCTGCCTCTTGCTCCAAGCCCACCAAAGCTATAGGCATTCATTCAGGCAGCTACTGGCTGCTGAGGCTAACGAGCCCAAGGTCAACAAATAAAATGGCACAGTCCTGATGTTAACAAACAACACGGCAGGCCACTGATTCAAGTCCACTGAAAGTACCAGGATTGGCAGAGCAGAGCAGGCTAATGAACAACAACTTGGCTACATACAAGGTTCAAGAGCGCCATAAGCTAGAGGCCATTCCCAAAGATGCTTTCTATATACGGGAAGCAGACCACATCCCTAAAGCAGCTATTCAGCTGCTTGTGGTGGATCCTACCACGGAGCTGACTTCCAGTCTCATCATGGGGAATAACTACCATCAGCTGCCCAGCCAATCAACCAGGCCCAGCCAAGTTGACACACAACCCTAACTACCACAGGGGCAATTTAATAATTAATTTTGATGGAGAAGCTATAATGTTGTTGTTGTTATGTGCTGGAGAGTCGGATCCAACTCATAGCGACCCTTCCTTGGGTTTCCAAGGCAGTATCGCTACGGAAGTAGATTGTCCAATCTTCCTTCCAAGGAGTGGCTGGTGGTTTGAACCTCCAGCCTTCTGGTTAGCAGTCAAGTGCTTTAGGCACTATGCTATCAGAACTCCTAGAAATTATAATATAACCCTACAAAATAATGAGTTGCATAGGCCATTCTAAAGATGTACCTTGTCCATCAGCGGTATCAGATGTCAAGCCGTTAGGGCTGTGCTCTTCTGAGCTCTGCCGGTAAAATCCTGATGACAGTCTTCTTTCAGCATGCTGCAGTCTCTCGTAGCCAGCTTGGGTGCAAAGGAACTCCATCTGCTTTGCCATCACCTTTTCAGGCTGCTAGTAAGTAAAGCAAAAAATAAAATCAGTAACTAAAACAGTCTAGATTCTTTAATGGTTTAAAGATGCCAATTCTAGACTCCAGCAAATATATTTGGTATATATTAAAATCAGTTCACACTTCATGTGGTATATACCTTCCATAAATATGCATGTCATCATGTTTAAACATAAAATGCTAGGTTTTGGACAAATGCAAAAAAAACCTTTCTTCTCAAGCCTATAAAGACAATTTCATTTGAACTGAAAAGCAAAATAACTTAAGCTTTCTTTTCCAAAGTACTGAGTCTTTTTAAAGATTTTTTTTTTTTTTTTTTAAAGGACACCTAAAAGCAACAGCAACATCTGCCATAATCTGCTTATAACACATAGGGTGAAATCTTGGCATTTTTATTTTAGAATTTGGCACTATACAAACTCTGATAGGATGACAGTATGTTTAGGGGGAAAAAAGGTGTAAAACGGCTGTCTAGAAGAACAAGACAAACACACCTCCCACTAAAATTAAACAATGCAAATTATGCAGAAAAACATCAGTGCCAAAGAGGATCTTCCCTTTCATCATGGAATGAAACTGCAGTATTTTCTAACCAATTATAAAAAGACATGTTTTAAAATACACAATTAGTTGGCTGACGTAGAAATTCATCTCGGCATGTGTTTTAAGTGCCTTGTCTACGCACTGCTCTAAATTACTTGTATGTGATATTCAAAGCAGTATCTGTGATATTTTGCCAAGGAGGCAACAGTCAAAATGCACAGATAGGAATCACTACCTTGAAATGTAAGAGAGTATCAGGAAGCTGCTGTATAAAATCAGTCACATACAGTCCTCATTCACAATATAAAAATCAATAGGTGAATATTTTAATTTATTGAATAAATAATTGATTATACTGTTTTTCTGAGTTACATAAACTAGATCAAAAGTAACCATAACTTCATTTAATTTGAACTTATTACTAATTAACTGATAAAATTTCAAGAAGCAGCTTGAAAATACAGTTTTCTTCTTAACATAAAAAAACAAAATGTGGCAGTACTAAATTTGACCATAAGCAAGTCACTAGGGAGAAGCTCAACAAAAAATAAAACTTCCTGGGATTTCTGAAAGTGATGTTTGCAGAAAGAATTTCTCAGTATACACGATTAAATAATGTATTGGCAAAAGTACCTAAAGCTACATATTAATTATTTTTCAATATGTATGAATTTGTTTCAGCAATAGCTACAACACTTGACTATTAATATTTTATTAAGAACTAATGCTGTTTTATGCTAGAATTGTATTATTCACAACCACAGACATATTGCTGTTTTCCTGATACAGAATTTCTTCTTTTGGGTTTTCTTACATAGAGAATGCATCTCCCTTCCCACAAAACTACAAAGACATCGAGGTAGCATGATAACAGATTATGTTCACAAACTAAATGCAACCTATTGCTGTCTTGTTGATACAGCTGTGGATCAGATGACATTTTAAAAACCAGAAATGAAAATTCAGTCCTGATACTTAAAAGTGAAGCTAGTTGAAGTAGCCATTTATTTTTTAACCTACAGCGGTTATTAAGGGGGCTGGGGGAACAACTAGTTATTCACGTTACCTGTGAACTAAGAGCTGCAAATTCTTCACTCTTAGTTTTAGCCTGCTGGAAGAGTGTCTGCACAGAATCCTGGAAATCTGGAAAACCATCCTATGGGTCAAAGAATAAGTCATTTTTATTTAGAGTTTTTAAAGAAAAGCAATAACCATATTTCGTAAAACTCAGAATATAAAAAAGCAAACTATAATACCACTACTTAAATAATCACAGTTAATAACAGTTTATGTACAATTTTTCAGTTTAGTCTTTTATGGTACAAGTACCTCATTTTCTATAGTTGTAGTAACCTCAGTAAAGACATAAAATGAAAAAGCAGAATAAAAAATGTAACCATTTGCATTGTTTTATACTGGTACATAGACTTCTTATCATTGATGATAATGACTATATAACATTTCATCTAGTGGTTTGAATATTTAACCAGTATCCATGAATTGGGTATTTAGATTCCTTTCCTAATATTTGGTTATTATGAAAAATACAGCAAAATATTTTCATGTAAATAGCATTTTCCATAGGATGGATTATTTAACAGAATAGATTCCCTTAAGTAGAATTACTACAAAGGAATAAGCATTTTTATGTCTCTCGATACATAATGCAAAAGTTCTTTACTGGTTTATCACACCATGAGCATACTATGCTAGCACCTTGTTAGCATTAGATATTATTTTCTTAATTTTTGCTATTTTATTCAAAAACTTTAAAATTTTATGTTATTGTTAGTTGTCGTCAAGTTGGTTTCAAGTCATGGTGACCTCATGTAAAGAACTACATGTTGCCCAGACCTGCACCATCTTCACGATGCTCACATCAACTGTTTCAGCCACTGTGTGTTCTGAGTGCCTTCCAACCTAAGGAGCTCATCTTCCAGCCACATATCAGACAACGCTGTGCTATGATCCACAGGTTATTACTGCCTAGTTTTCCTAAAGTGCTATCCAATAATCCCAGCCTAAATAAATTGAAGAATTCATCCATGTTGATTAGTGGTTTCTCCTTTATCATACATACATCACATAAAAAGCAACAAAGGCTTTGGAATTACAAAGATTTGTACTCACTTTCCAATTTAAGACACTGGGTAAGAAACAACATTTCTTAACCTCAGTTTCTTCATATGAAAAAGGGTAAGAGTATCTTGAGTATCTATTACGAGTTGTTGTGAAGATCAAATGAGATAAAGTAGTAAAGCTGTCTGTACACAGTAACTGTTAAGTAAGTTCTCAATGCACACTAAATATTTATATTAAAGAAGGCTTATTTAGTGTCACTTTATCTCTGGACAATATCTCAACTTATTTATGTTTTTAACTTAAATTAAAAAACTCATACTTTAAGGCATTCATTTCTAAAACATGCACTATCTGATACATATATGTAATAGAGGACGAATCATCAAAACCCAACCATCTTACAAGTACGATAGCACAGAAAAATGTAATAAGGGAACAGCACAATATTTTACTTTAATTGCAATAAAAGAAAAGGTTAAAAAAATTTTTTCCATCAGTATCTTTTAAAAAATTATTTCACTGCTGCAGATGCAATGTTTTCAAATATTTCATCTAATGAAGTCATTTATCCAATATTAATTTACTGTTTCTTATCAATAAATAGCAATATAATTAGAACCAAGTAGAGATAAATATGACACCATTAAATAGTCTTCTGTAGCTTTATGGTAGGTCAAAATACTGAAAATTGCCACCTCTTTATGCCCTTATATGACCAAAGGCTTAGAGAAGCACACAGACATAATCATTAACTGAGTTAGAATAAACTTTATACAGTATATACCATTTAAATCTAAATGAAAAATTAGTTTTTCTTAGCCATTCCATTTTTCCCAAGAAGTTATTCAGGTCTAAAAATTCCAACTTTTTCTTTAGTAAACTCTACCACACATTCTAAAGTTCAATGATACATGCTAGTAGACAACTTAAAACAAAGACATCAATATAAGCATTTTTCAGAAGCCTACAATGTACTAGTTCCTTACAATGTATTATTTTTTCCCAAAAATTTTATTTATTTTGTTGTTGTTGTTGAGCACATACACAACAAAACATCAAGTGTCTATATGTACATTTCAGTGACACTGATTACATTCTTCGAGTTGTGCAACCACTCTCCTCCTCCTTTCCTAAGTTGTTCCTTCTTCATTAACCTAAACTCACTGCCTCCTAAGGTTCCTATCTAATCTTTCTAGATGCTAGTAGACAGTTCTCAAAGGAGCATAATGCTCAAGGCAGATGTTTTTTTACTACATAAGCAAAACTATCATTTGGTTTTAAGAAGACTTCTGGGGATATTTTTGGTTAAAGGTTTAAAGATTATCTCAGGGCAATAGTTTCAGGGGTTCATCTAGCCTCCACGGTTTCAGATAGTTTAGAAACCAAACCCACTGAGTCAATTCTGACTCACAGAAACCCCCACTGGTTTCCAAGTTTGTAAATCTTTGCAGAAGTAAACTGCCTCATCTTCCTCCCAGGGAGCAGGTGGTGGTGGGAAAGTCTAGAGTCCATGGGAATTTGATATTCTGTTCTGCATTTTTTTCCCCCTTTCAATCAGGATTCTTCTATAGAATCTTTATTCAAAATGTTCTGTAAGGGTAGCCATGCACCATCCAGTTCTTTTGGTCTCATGGCATCGAGGTAGTTGTTCATAGAGGTAATTAGCTGCACATTCCATTGTTGTTGTTGTTATGTGCCGTCGAGTCAGACCCGACTCATAGTGACCCCTCCTTGGGTTTCCGAGGCAGTATCACTACGGAAGTAGATTGCCCAACCTTCCTTCTGAGGAGTGGCTGGTGGGTTTGAACCGCCACTGGTTGGCAGTCAAGTGCCTTAGGCACTATGCTACCTCCTATTCCTAACTCTCCTTCTTCCTCTGTTACTCCAGACAAATAGAGACCAATTATTGTACCCTGGATGGCCACCTGCAAGCCTTTAAGACCCCAGGCACTAAACAATGAACTAGGAGATAGAACAGAAACACTAAACACATTATTAGGCCAGTTAACTGGGCTCTCAAGAAATCATGAATCTAAACTTCCAAATCAAGGAACCAAACCCCACGAGGCTGTTTCATTGAACATAAACAGCCTCAGCAGCTACTTTTTTTCTGAGAGTGGTGATGGGGTAGGCAATGTCATTGTTATAAATATATGTGTCATACAACCTTTGCCAATTCAATTTTTTTACAGATGTACAGCTTATTGACAGCAATTACAATGACTGGCTATGCAACCCTATCCTTAATCAATGCAATTTTTCTGTAACTGTTAATCCCTCTCTGCCCACCCCCCAATCCCTGGTAATCACTAATAAACTTCAGTCTCTTATACATTTGCCTTTTCTTGTCTCTTTATATTTAAGTGAGGTCACACAATATTTGTCCTTTTGTGATTGACTTCTAGCTCCATCCATATTGTAGCATGTATCATGACTTAATTTCTCCTACTGGTTGAGTAGTATTTCATTGAGTGTACCACATTTTGTTTATGCATTCATGTAAAACCATAAAATTCTTAGAAGAAAATGCAGTTGAAATATAAATGATTGTTGTCGTCGTTATATGCTGTGGATTCGGACCCAGCTCATAGCGACCAATCCTTGAGTTTCTGAGGCAGTATTGCTATGGAAGTAGATTGCCCCATCTTCCTTCTGAGGAGTGGCTGGTGGGTTTGAACCACCACCATTTTGGTTAGCAGTCAAGTGCTTTAGGCACTATGCTACCAGAGCTCCCATCTAAATGATTAGGCCTAGCTTTTAACAATGGATTACCTAATATATTAATAACAAAAACTGAAACAGCAAAAGACAAAATTAATAAATGGGACTGCATAAAAATAAAATTTTTGCTCATCAAAAGATGTTACCAAAAAAGTGAAAAGAGAAGTTATGGACTTGTAGAATATCTTTGGAAGCCATATATTTGGTAAGAATCTAATAACCAAAATATATTATAAAATTTTGACAATTTATCAACAAAAAGACAAATAACCCAATAATAAAATTGGCAAAGGACTTGAATAGACATTTCACCAAAGAGGACATTCAAATGGTCACTGAACACATGAAAATATGCTCAGTGTCATTAGCCATTGCTGTTGTTGTTATATGCCGTCGAATCAGATCCGACTCATAGTGACCCTTCCTTGGCTTTCTGAGGCAGTATCACTGTGGAAGTAGACTGCCCAACCTTCCTTCCGAGGAGTTGCTGGTGGGTTTGAACCGCCAGCCTTCTGGTTAGCAGTCAAGTGCCTTTGGCACTATGCTACCAGAGTTTATTAGCCATCAGAGAGGTGCAAATCAAAATTATAATGAGTCAACTACTTCACTCTCACGAGGATGGCTAAGATAGAGGAAACAGAAAATAACAAATATTGATAAGGACACTGGAAAATGTGGAACCCTTAGCCACTTTCTTGTGGGGATGCAAAAATGGTACAGCCATTGTGGAAAACAGTGTAGTGGCTCCTCAAAAAACTAAAACTACCATAAAACTAAAACTCACTGCTGTTGAGTCGGATCCAACTCATAGCGGCCCCTCCTTGGGTTTCTGAGGAAGTAGCACTATGGAAGTAGATTGCCCAATCTTCCTTCCAAGGAGTTACTGGTGGTTTCAACCAGTAACTAACAGTTACTGTTAACTGGTTAGCAGTCAAGTGCTTTAGGCACTACGCCATCAGAGCTCCCAAAAACCGTATGATCAGTAATTCCAGCAACAGGTTTATACCCAAAGACTTGAAAGCAGAGACTCAAAAAGAGACTTATTCAACAATGTTCATTGCAGCATTATTCACAAAGCCAAAAGGTATAGACAACCTATATCCTACTTTTTATATACATTATATCATGTAATCCCCACCACAACGAACCCACCTTTCCCTCATTCTACAGCTACAGATACTGGCTTCAAACCTATGCTCAATCACAAAATACCGGAGCAATCACTTATAAAACTCAAAACAATAAATACAGACATTTGTTTGACTGCTGTGTTTTTCATAAATTGAACTGGCTTTCATTCTATGATTTGCACTGACTTCAAAATCCAATTCTACCACTTATTTGCTGTGATAC